ATTTACGACTTTTTATTCTTAGACAAGTTTTGTATCATTATTTGCCATATGAATAAAATAAAATTCTACATTAAAATAACAAAATTCCACTTGTTAAGTATTCCATATATTGCAGAACACAATATAGATGGTACAATTGGTGATAAATCAACAAAAAATGAATGGATACTCTCTGATAATGAACAGAAACTCATCTGGTCAGGTATAAACTTTATTGCTGCTCATAACTGGCTAGCATTTTTAAGCTTTTTGTGCTTTGATATTCGGGGTTCAATCAAATGGGTCAATGAACGAAATGAACTGGGGTTGCTAACGGTGGAAAGGATTGAGGATCTGAAATATGGCAATAAAAACTTCGTATTCATAGAATTTGATGGGGAAAAATATTTGGCCAATATTTCATGTAGCGAAGTATGATGAAACTTAATACAAATGACTTCGGAGCGGTTCAGAAGTATTTTTGAAGGATGTGTACATGGATTCTTGTGTTTTACAGTGGTGTGACTTATTAGGCTTGAGATATCGATTAAAATTATGTCATAACTTCAAAACTATAAACAATGGAGCAGAGGAACTTTGCAGAAAGTCTATATATTTTTATGATAGACATTCCATGTCATCGTGATTCACCATGATACAATTAAATATTTACTAGTTAGATATATAAAAAAGACAAAGTAATTATTCTATTTCATCATAATGTGAGCAACCTCGACTCCTGGAATGGACAGCCATAGCTGACATAATACACACAAGGATGTTTAAGCTAAGCTAGTAAGCTGGTCATATATTTTTTGGGTTTCATTTATTGCATATAGCTTCTTCGTACCTGCGCCGCTGATATAAAAGCTTTGAGTTCGTTTGTTCCATAGGAAACACTATAGCCTAAATCCGTGCAGCTGAACACATCTTCAAGGTGCTTACACTCTTCATATAGCTCGTCCACCATCAAAATCCGGTCCGACAGCAAGTTACGAACAGGGTTATGGTACTCTCGGACTAAAAATCTAACCAACTTGCCGAGGTCGCTCGTTACATAGTCGACACAGCGGCGCGTACGAAATAGTAAATGAATATCATTTCAGCGCGGGTTTTTTTAGAAAAACTACTTTCTGAACATATGGCGCTAAGAATTTCGCGGGTGGTAAAAAACTACAATGTGGGCAAAAAAAAGTTCAATGTGTCCCATATGTTTAATAATGTAGCATATTCTTGGAAATAGAGCATATACGTAGAGAAAATGCTGTTTCACCATTTCATGTAGGAATTGGGTGACATATTAGGAAACTAGGTTTTGTAGAATCGTAAGATACCCATTTCTCAGATCATTTACAAAAATGTTGAGATATCTTCCAGATGACAGAAAAATCATAAAGTTTTCCATTTGCATTAAAACTCTGGCAGTGAAGTACGTATTTCCTCTTCATGCTAAATACCGAATATTATAGCCATATCTGCAGTTTTCACAATGTTCTAAATGCTGCAATTACTAGTTCACTCCCGCCAGATCGCACACATGTTAAACTAGTAAATGGGGGTGCGTGCATATAGCAAGGTGGTAACCGCCGAGTCGCGCACCAATACCCGCGGAGTGTGCATACAAGTGTATGCTTCGTCGAGAAAAGTTGATGTGCTGTCGCTTTACAAAGCATAGCTAACCACGTACCTAATCTAGCATGGAGCTGCATGGAATCAAAGTCATTAGTGTGGAAGACGCACCAGTATTGGTTTGCCGGGGCCGAATTGTCAACCCCTTTTCAAAGGAGTTTGCAATGAGGCTTCTACCCCAACTTATTCCGATCACCGAAGAACGACGAGACGTATTGGACGAGATCATGAACCACTTTGCGCTGTATTCGAAGGAACACTACTTGAGAAAACGCATTATGCCCATTGGTAATACAGAAATCCCTGAAGTCAAGGAAACCAAACTAAATATCTGCACCCTTTGTTTCAACCACTGTTCCAAACGTCACATCAACGAGCACCTTAAAAGTGCACATCATATAAAGAACAGGTTCCTCCAGCATACCTTTGCTACACTGGGGTACACGATCCCCAACCAGAAACGAACCATGTCCTATTTCTACCGCAAAAAACTGTATTCGGAGAAGCCCATTGATATGTTTGATATTGGCAATAGAGCAGCTAGAGACAATAGCGAGGACAAGTTCTTGCGGTACATCCACGCGGAGGACTATCAGGGCAAAGGATGCGCGCAGTATATTGCAAGTGAAAACGAAAGAGAAAGCGAGCCAGTTGTTGCAGTGGTCGAGACCTATATGATGAAAAAAAGAGAGCACATGAGAGCCAGCCACAGCATATTCAGCAAGATGAGTGCAATGGGGATATTGAAGGCCAAATACATATATTCGACAAGAGTGTTATATGCAAAGTTGGCCGGCCGGTTTTTCTATACGTTTGCAAAGTATAGCGGTAATGCCGTAATCGGCGAGGTTATTCGTAGACCAACGCCACTGGTGGTCGAACAAGCCATGCATGTCATGATGGAGACTTATGTTCTTGTCGCCAAAGACCCCAGCGAGAAGTTCCTACAATCCGTGTTTATATCATTGATGACTGCAGACGATACATTTGCCGAGTCGAGGGTCAGGGCAAAGACGCTTGACGCCATTAACTACTGCCTCAAGTTGGCTGCATCCGATTACATGCAAGCCAACGACAATGTCAACGATGTCTTGCTGGTGTGGTACGAAACAGTATACTATGATTTTGAGCATTACCGGAGCGTCCACCACAAGTTTAACATGACAACACCAACGTTTCAAACGAGGGTGGATGAACAGGATATAAGAAAGGCGGCGATTGGGGCAGTCAATTTCAGCATCGACGATCTTAGCAAATTGGCCCGCTGTTTGGTCAAGGACTACCGCAGGCAAACTGAGACGTTACTTCCAAAAGGCGTAATTATCGTGGACGATCTTTACGAAGAGTTTGAAAGAAATGCTGTGGAGTTGATCGACTGCAAGGATAGAGGATACAGTGTCTTCTTTGGAACATCAGCTATCAATGATATAGCGGCCAAATGCTTATTGCGGTTTCGGGATGCGTTGGGCGATCTCTGGGATAATCTGGGATACATGAAGATCATATTACAGAAGTTGATGAAGCTAAACTTGAACGTATTGGTGTGCATAATGATAACCTGTGGAAGTCCCTTTCGAGTGTCCGAGCTCTACACATTGACGTTCGCCAATCCTGTGGGGACAACACGTTCCATGTATTATTCGAACGGGCTCATCCAATTGAATATCCGTTACAATAAAAATACCCATAGCACGTTAAGGTACACCAACCATACCAAAGTATTGCCGCAGGATGTCTCCAAGATTGTGATTCATTACATTTCAGTGGTGAGATATTTGGAGATTGCCATTGTCGAGAGACACGGAGCTGACGAGATTTCCAGGGATATTAGTGAGCCGTCTTATCGCAAGAATATAGACGACAATGACGATGAATCCGATAGAGAGGAAGCGGAGGCACTGACAAGTATTGCCGAGCGCCAGCCAAGAAAGGCAATGCTCCGGACGCTAGTATTTCTTTCACCATTTGGCGTGAGGAAAGGCGCCCAGGCATTCACATTCTTGGAGCGGGCCAGTGAACAATATATTGGCGAAAGGTACACACCACGACTTTTGCGACAGGCATTGGTTCACTTTACGAGATTACTCTTGACGGAGAACAGATACGGCGATACGGGATTTCTCAAACGCATAGACAAGCTAGCGGGGCACACCACGACGACTGCCGATATGCAATACGGTGTCACGCACTCGAATTCGCTCCTACCCAGTGTTCCTGTAAATAATATCGACATTCGGATTTCTTTGGAGTGGCACAGGATATTGGGGCTAACAATGTACTTATGAAACCTATTGGAACCCTGACAATGTATGCGCAAATTGGAACCGTGACACTGCGAAAAAAAAAATAATCCATACAAAACTTTTTGCGTGACATTATCAGACTGGAACCGTGACACCAATTCATGTATTGAAGTTCAGTGTGTGATACTCACCTCCTGTAGACTATTTACTATGGCGAATCGACTCCTGTAAGAACCTCTTTCTAAGCTTGAATTTTTTGAATTTTCATTTTACGGAATTCTGCAAAAAATTGTCGTATATTATAAAATAATTGTAAAAATTTACAAACATTTGAACTAAAAAAAACATCACGCTGGCTTGCCAAATTTACAGGTATTGTTGCAGGATATTTTTATATTTAAGATGCAAATACGAAGAATATTTAGCTACAAGATATATATGAAAGCTATTTGGACCTTGACACAACTTTTGGGAAGTGGAACCTCGACAGTGCGAAAAAAAAAATGGGCCATAAAAAAGTTTCAAGGTGACACTTTTAGACTGGAATCTCTCCCCCAATTCGAGCTGTAATGTAGTATTTCAATAATATATAGTATATTCCACGAAGAATAGACCCATCTAGGACTTTTTCTTCAAAGTTGAAATTTTAGTTTTCATGTTTTTCTGATTCTCGCAAAAAATTGCAAGATATTATAAACTGAGAGAAATATTCCGCACATTTTAAAAATATGAAAGTATTATTCTTCTATTGAAATTTAGACATGTTATTCTAGACATCCATTGGATGTTTTCGTTGGAAGATTGAGCCTATAAATGTTCTACATGTGTCATAATGATAACTCTGGAACGTTGTCATATCAGTTGTTTGTGATCCTTTTTCGCGCTGTACTGCAAATAATAACTCCAATTTCACATGCATTATTCGCAAGCACACGATCCGAGCGTCGACGACAAATGAGTTGTTCTTTTCTGAAAATATTCAACCCTGCATCTTTGCAACAAAAATGGAAGCACACGGCATACGTATTGTTGAGATTGATGGAGTTTCTATTTTAACACACGACGGAAATATTCTTAACCCGTTTTCCGAGAGATTTACGCAGAGATATTTAACGAATATTGTAGGTTGTTCCAGCCTCCGTGAAGACATTCTATCAACAATCAATAACCACTTCGACAACCACTCAAAAGACCATTATGCACGCAAAAGTGTTGTATCTGTCGGTCCCTCGTCTGAAATAGCAGGAATCAAGGAATCTAAACTAAATGTGTGCAAAATTTGCTTTAACCATTGTGCCCAGGACTACATCAATCAGCATCTCAGAAAAGAGCATGGCATTAGGAGGAGTTTCCAACATCACGTCTTCAGAACAACCGGGTATGCAATTCCCAACCAAAAGTGCGGCTTTTCCTATTTATACCGCGAGAAAGAAAGCACCAAACCACCAACGTCCATGACAACCATCGAAGGTCCGCATACACATCGCCGACACGAGGACAAGTTCCTCCGCACAATCAACGCGAACTTATATTATGGAAAGGGGTACCCGCAGTATCTATACGGCAAAAACAAGGAAGAGAGCATACCGGTGTTTGAGGCCGTCAAGAAGTATATTCTCCAAGACAGACCACATTTGAAGGGCACGCATCCCATTTACAACCGGATGTTGCGAGAGGGTATATTGAAGGTGCCGGTTCTCCATAAGACCCGGGTGATATATGCAAACTACGCCAGTCGCTTTTTCTACACGTTTGCAAAGTTATGCGATAACCGAATCATCGAGGAAGTGGTGACCAATCCCACGGACGAAGTGGTGAAGCGAGCGGTGATGGAGACGATCGAAAGGTATATTGTGGTGGAAGAAGACACAACGGAAAAGTTTATGAAAGCCGTGATTATCTCGTTGATGCTTCCTGACGACAGATTTGCGCAGTCGAAGGTGCGGGCCAAAATCCTCGATGGAATCAACTATTTCTTGAAGTTGGCCATAGCAGATTATATGTTGATGAGAAACAAAAGCAAAGAGATTATTAAAAACTGGGAGAATCTAGCATACCAGGCATTTGAGTCCACACGGTCATACAACCATAAATTCAATAGGACGTTGCCGGCTTTCCAGACGATAGTCGACCAGCAGGATAACCGAAAGGTGATGATCGGGTCGGTTAGGTTCAGCACTCCTGACCTCGGCAAGTTGGTTAGATGTTTGGTTCGGGAGTACCATACCACGGTTCGAAACTTGCTACCGGACGGGATTTTGATGGTGGACGAGCTATATGACGAGTTCTGCAAGCACGCAAAAGATATGTTCAGCTGCACGGATTTAGGGTATAGTGTTTTCTATGGAACCAACGAACTCAACAAGCTCTCGTATCAGCAGCGACGTACGTACGAGGAAGCCATCGGTGATAAATGGAAGGATCAAAAATATATGAGAAGCAAGTTTGACCAGTTCACCAGGCTCAACTTGAATCTCTTTGTGTGCATCTTGATCACCTGTGGCAGTCCATTCCGGGTGACGGAATTGCTCACGTTGACGTTTGCCAACCCGACGGATTTGGTGCGTACGATGTATTATTCCAACGGGCATATTCAGATTAATCTTCTCTATAATAAGAATACGCATAGCAGTATGCGATATTCGAACCATACCAAGATGTTGCCGATTGAGGTTTCCAAAATAGTGGTCCATTACGTCTCTATTATCAAATATTTGGAGGTCGCAATCGTGGAGGAGCATGGATGGGCCAAGGCCAAAAGCGATATGAGCGTTTCTGACGATTGGGGAGACGACGATGAATTTGACGAGACGGACGGAAGTGATCTGGAAGACGAGGCCAGCTTGTTGGCGTCCAGGGCGTTATCGAAGAAAGATGAGATAAAGACGCTTTTGTTCATGTATAAGCTCGGGCCGAGAAACGGGGGCCAGGTGTTCAAGTATTTGGAGCTGGTGAGCGAAAAGTATATCAAGGAGAAGTATACGCCCAGGATTTTACGGCAGGCGTTGGTCTATTTTACGCGGACGCTCTTGGGAGAAGCAAAGCATCAGGGGGTGGGGATCCTCAATCGGATTGATTCCATTGCAGGGCATAGGTCAGAGACCGCCGATTTGCAATACGGAGTTACGCATAGCAATATGTATCTTCCTAGCGCGGCCAGAAATAATATCGATATCCAAATCTCATTTGCATGGCATAAGATCTTGGAGTTGGAAGATAAGGAGGTGAAGGACGAGGCTGGCCCCAGCAATAGGCAGGAGTTGAAGAAGCTTCTTTCGATGGTTGACGTGGGCAAAGAAGAAATAGAAGAAGTTGGACGAAGGCTATATGGTAATTTCAAGTTTGAATCGATGAGCCAGGTGCATACGGTGTACGACGCATTTCATAGCGTCAAGGATCTTATGGTGATCAGTCCGACTGGATCGGGTAAGAGCAATGCATATAAGATGCCTATTTTGATGGAGAAGAAGTTGCGGCTTCCGTTTGTCAGTTTCATCATCTGTCCTTTCATCAGTTTGCTTGAAGACGTAAAGGTAAAGTTGAAGGAGCTCGGGGAGCTAGAGGTGGAGATATTCGATAGCGATATGGTTCACGAATATTATAGCAATTGTGATATAATTGTGCTTCAGTTAGAAAAAGTGCAGGAGGTAGCGGGGCTAGTGCGGTATTTTGAATCGGGATCTGTCTTTCGAAGAGTGCGGCGGCTAATCATGGATGAGGCCCATGCATTGATCGAGCATCGGGAGTTTCGAGGCCTGTCAGTTTCGCGAGTGCGCGATGTCTTGGGGGAGGATATCCCCAAGCTTTTTCTAACGGCGACGTTTCCCAAGGCCATGGAAAGGGAATTATGCGCGTTATTTGGTATATCGGATTGGCGGGTGCATCGTGAAGAGACGATCAGAAAGAATATTGAGCACGTAGTCGTCAGAGAGCATATAGATGTCAAGAGGGCGTTGCGCGCGATATACGCAAAGGAAATAAGGCCTCGAAAGACGAAGGGAATTGTGTTTGTGTATCTGCGGGAGATGGCAAAGGATCTTGGCGAACGGCTAGGATGGATGGTGTTTCACGGAAATATGATTCCCGAGGAAAAAGCAAAGGCATATAAGGAATTTGCAGATACGGAGAGTGCCATGATGGTTGCGACGTCGGCGTTCAGCCATGGCGTAGATGTTGAGCGTATCAGCCATGTAATAGCTATCGGCGATGTTCCCGGTAGTGTTGATTTCCAGCAGGTGGTGGGAAGAATGTGGAGAAAGCAAGGGAATAGAGTCGGTCGGTCGATTATTTTGTTGGAGCCCGGGATGAGGACGGGAATAATCCGGGGCGATATGTGTGTGAACGGGGTTTTGGCGCAGGAATTAGACGGTAAAATAGATCAGAATTGTTTGTCGCTAGGGTGTGTTGTGTGTTCTGTCTGCGATAATAATAAGTGTATCAGAAAGGAGGAGCTAGAAGACGAAGAGATGGAAGAAGCTAACCAGAGTGAGGAGGTAGAAGAAGAAGAAGAAGATCAAAACGAGGAGGAGGATGAAACGTTGAGACGGTTGAGGGAGTGCAATTTTAATATTCTAGTTATGCATGGGCTCAGCAGAGGTACGGTTGGCGTTGGCGAGTCGCTAGGATGCTATCTTCGGGGCTTTTTTCCAACGATTGTTATCACGGGGCTTTTGGAGGAGCTGTCAGTATGCAGAGGGTGTCTATTATCAGATGAGCATGCATATAAGCTCGATGTCCGTCATGAAAGCGTAATGCATATGACGTGCTCTCTTAGTCCGCTTCTCCACGCTATTCTCATGTTGCTTTTTTTCTCCAAGAAAAATGCCCGGGCCATGATCCAGGAGGAGCTTCTGATGCCCACGGTTAGTGATATAATGATGGGGAGGATACGCCAGCTCCTTGATGATACATAGTCGACACAGCGGCGCGTACGATGGGAGGATGGAGGTGTGTAATGTTTTTTTTTTTTTTTTTTTTTTC